TCTTCACTTTTAACACCGCTTTTACACCAAATATATTCAGATATAAAGTAAGGGATTATTAGATTCTGATCATGAGTTTGAAACCCATTGAATGGGAAAAGCGATCCTTCAAATAGTCTCACAATTCGGTCAAATAGTAGTGTTTTTATTATTGTTATTAGTGTTACAGTACTTAATGAGGTCTCCATTTCTCACAACACATCCAACCGAACGCTATAATCATTAAAATTACCTGAACTTGAAGTCTGAACACTAAAATTCTTCAGTAAAGCGAAAAAAATACAAAATTTTTAATTTCAAGTTTTACTTTTGCCATCATTTTTAATGCCATTAATTTTACTTTCATTTTTAGTACACTTTAGAAAATATCTACATTTTATCAACAAACTCTAAATAGTCTGAATGTTTTAGCAAATATAAAATCTAAAGCTAATTAAACATGCGGTGAATTTGTAAACATTTTTGTTTCAAACTAGATGTACACAGAATCACGCCACTTGAAAATACGTCTGATGTTTAGTTATGGTAATAATAATATATTTTTATTCTCACAGTTTTATACAGAGATAACTAAATAATAAGAGTGAAATCGAGTGCATTGTATTAATTACACTACAATTGTATTACTTTTACTACGAAATGAACGGCATTTTTATTGAATATTTGATTACAAAGTATTTATGAAAAAATGTATTTTATCTCAATTGCAATCAATTGTGTTATGGTTTTAGTCATCATTTTTTTCCTCATAGAAATGCAATTCATTTCTCACATAACTATTAAATTATTTAATACTTTTCTATTGACAAAACACTTTCAATTTCATTCAATAGTATTTTTTATTTGAGAAAACGTAAGGAATTTTCGGTTTCAATCCCTAATCTCATTATTATTCCTATATTTCCTGACTTTCAAACTTGAACTTCAATTTTGAATATAATTTTCATAATGTTTTTGAAAATATAAATACATTTTTGATACAAGAATACCATTCGCTATATTTTTTATGAGGGATTAGGAAATACCCGTCCAAACAAAATACACACATCACTGAAAGTCTTGTGTCAATGAATACATTGGATTCAATGTCGAGATAAAGAGCCGATATATACCATCTCGATGTCGATCATTACCATCTAAAATTAAAATCATTAGTTGCAATCAAAAAATCAGTAATTTTTAAAAATCATTTATTAATGCTTTAGAAAAAACAAATTTACAAACTTATAACTTGAGATATAATACAGAGATTTTAAATAATGTTATATTGAAAATAATAAACACAAATCAATTGTAATATAAATTAAAGTATTATTAATATAAGGATTGATTGATTGGAGTATTGGTTGGTTGAGAGCCTAAGAAGACTCCACTTGTTCTATATATTGTTCAGTGATATAATCGGCGGCTTTCGTGAAGTGCTCTAAGATGTTGTACATTGAGTGCAAGTGATGTATGAATTGGTCGGTCAGTTGAGCCGAGTTCTGGCCCTTTAGGTCAGACGACTTGTCCGACTCGTGACCAATGCTTCCCAAATCGGAACAACTGGACACTCGAGAGGACGAGTTGCTGGACACGTGTCCGTTAGTGCCGTTAGTGTGAGCGGCTTTCGTGTGGTTGTTGTGATGATCGGGCAAAACGGGAAGCACCGGAATGTTGGCCACCGACGAGATCTTCCTCTCCCTGAGAGCCGTCAATCCGTTCTCCTCTTTGCGTTGGATCAGCGCTCGCGAGACCTTTCGCTTCGGCGTAAACACACTGTTGTTGACGTCCTCCTGGATGTGGGGCTCGAAGAGGTCCTTCTTCACGGTGTTTATCATATTGTAATACTCGTAGAGATCGTCGTTCATATAAGTGGTGCCATTTTCCAGGTCTCGGAGTCGGGACGGTATGAGTACAGCGCCGTTCATCTCTTTCACCGATTCGATGAAGTTCTCGATGATGTGGTTGTTGTAGACCTGTTGGTCCTCTTTCGTGAACTTCTGTTGTTTCATAAAACGTGCCGCAAATGATGGATACATTTTCCGTCGATTTTTTCGGTCACAACTCTCTTTTCGTCAACAAATTTATTTAAAAACTATTTAAAACTATTCAACTTATTATAAAAACTTTTTACTTTAATTATTAGTTAATTTAAAAATTAATTCACTATTTATTATAATAGCATAAAAACAATATTAAGGTAAAAATATCGTTTGAATCCTAAGAACAGTAGTCTATGGGAGAGGAAGGGATGAAAGTTATTAAAGAAATAAAACCTTTCGATAGAGAGAAGTGAATTGAAACTAACAATTCTGTCAAATGGTTCGCAGCTTTAATAGACACAGCGATTGTTTGCATTGGCATTAATTCATTGGATAGAGAAAAACGATATCTTATCACTTGAATTATAGACTCCGAGTGACTGTTTGTTGCCTTACATACACTGGATATATGGGGAGAGTTGAGTGAGAAATCAGTGAATTTTTACACTGTTTAATATGTCGAGCGAAACCGTAAGCAACAATAATCATTACACTGAATATACAGCATATATTGAGTGTGTGGTGTGTGTATACAGTGTACATATAGTGTACTGTATATGCGATGGTGTGATGTTTAGACACGAGATCAGGTCTATGCACACGCCTTCACCGAATGACTGCCACCACTTCCGATCAGCTTATGATTTGTGTATACATTGTCTGCACTGTCAGTGCATATCATACAACAAAAAAGCGCATTCAGTTATCATTGCATTCCCTATACCTTATGTGTAGGAATATTCAGTACCACATCAAAAAAATTCTGTCCCATTTTGTCACACATATGGAAAAGTGTTGCAAACTTTTTTTTTGCTGTTCACTCGTCCAGAACTACATCTCACTTGTGATAGCAATACAATTGTATCTCATTTTTTTCACACTAGCGATCATTTGTTATCTGGTGATAATATACAGTACAGTGCAGTATATGTTTTTACTAATTATTTAATGATTAATTAATTGGCTAAATGTTTGCTATCACTGCATGTATGGCATGTATGGGTATAAATGTACTGACGATTAGGAGTACGAATCGGGAGTGACTTTTAGATTCATTTACATTAGAGAACCGCTCAATACTGGATGAGAGGACCCGGTTATTGGGTTTATATCAAACATTCAAAATCAGTTCAAAATCGAGGCTCCCCTCAAAATATCAATACTTTTGTACACTAAATGGCTTATAATAAGTCTATTAATAGCAGCCACTTATTGGGAATAATAGAAGAAAAGTAGTTATTTGTTATTTATTAATATTTACAATTCTATTAACTTTTGAATAATTCAAATGCCATTAAAAAAGTCATAAACCATAAAATTCAGTGTCATTTCAAACAAACTATTGTAGTGTTAGAGAGAAAAAATTACTAATAAATAGGAAATAGTTATAGCAATTAGGAAATAATGATATTATATTTTTGGAAATGCAGTTACCATAATATAGCATAAATTTTTAGTTTCTAAATGCATTTTTTCATTGAAACGGTTAGGAAATGAGAGAAATTTTCGCTAATTTGTTCGCTATTTAATTAGAAAAAACTCACAAAATTCAACAATACTTAACGATGCATTTTTTATATTGTTTTGTTCGCTAAAAATACAATATTATCATATTGTTTGCCGATATATTCACTTGAATTGTGGTGAAAAGTTATGATAATTATAGCCAGTGGTGGGGGTGTGAAGGGAAAGGGATTTGTTGTGCGAAATCTACGGATATATCCGTGAATTAAAGTCGAAGGCTTTGTATATATTTTTTGTGCTGTTATAACGACTCGTAAAGCATTAAAATGTGTTTATTTCGACACAAATTCTGGTGTTTAAAGGGATTGAATGGAAATTGAACCGAGAGTTTCACAGTCAAGGGCTCATTGATGAGTCCGTCCTGTATATGGGCTTTGAATTGAAAGGTTTATATTTAAATTTTGCAATAATATTATTGATTGTTATTGACAATAAGTTATTGTACAAAATGTACAGTACTGTCCAATATTGGACTGTAAACAACTTAAGCCTAAAACAGGTTAATCCTTATGACCCGAACCCAGTTGAAGATCACGTATACCCATATTGTACGCACAGACTGCATGACTTCACCATGAAATCTATCTATGATATAAATATAGCATAAAATGAATATAAATTAATCGTTTGGTAAAAGCGAAAAACTGATATCAAAATCTCAGGTCATATTATCGTCAAAGCATTGGCTGACAAAACACACAATTTGTTGAAATGACGGCAGTTTTTGGTCAACGCTTTTAAATAGACATTTTCGCAATACATTAAAAGCCGTAATCACTCGTTGAGTTGCGTTACCAGTAATGTCTGGAAATGCTGTTTATGCGAAATTAAATGTTTGCGATTAAAATGATAGAAATATTAAGTAATATTAATTGAAACACATATTGCTAAAGAAATGGCATATTTAGATAATTTCACTTATGGTTGTTTATAAAGAGTACAATACAGAGTACATTACGGGTACATTACAAAATAACTTGTGGGCAACACTTCTCTATATAAACAACTTATTTAATAAATAAGACTTTATTACTATTTGTTTCATTAATAATATTATGTTTGGAAAGAACCGGAAGAATATATTTACGGTAATAAACAGATAACACGATGTGTGGGATTCACAACAAAATTGTATAAATGAATGGCTTTTATTGATTGGATTTGAAGATAAACTTTCAAAATGTGATAAAAACTTTTATTTTCAGTGATTTATCTAAAAAAAAAATAAATATTTGAATTTAAACAACATTTTATCAGTTAATTGTTTCAAACAGAGATTCAGATTAGATGTAAACATCTATTTAAATATTATCAATATTTGGTATTAAAATATAATTAAACACATATTTTCAATGACTATAAATGGAGTAAAGCTTTTAAAATTATCACAAAATATTCTCAATATTTTCGATAATATCATACAATTATGTAATAAAATATAAATAAATTTTAGTGACAAGTAATTCAATGTGTTTGATATGCTGTGCAATAAATAGTAATTACAATTTCAAATTCAATTACGAGTCAATAAAATATTTTTTCAGATCACTTTATATTGATTTAGGCTATTAATAATAGCCTATTATAACAAAACACATCTAACATGTGTTACACACACTAGCGCTGAGTCTTAGCGAAGGCCAGGAATATCTGCTCTAAAGTGGTGTCTGAGACGAGATAGTCCTCCAACTGTAGGCGCCCTTTGGCCGTCTCCATGACGGCAAACAAGTGCGACCACTGGACGCTCGTGTCGGTGATGTGATAGTGAAGTAGGCATTGATGCGAGTCCTTCAGCACAGCCGACGGGAACGCCTTTTGCACGTACTGTTCAACTCGGGTCACGTAATCGGGATCGTCGTTGAGTTCGCGACACAGTTTGATGACAATAGTGTATCCCTGGCCAAACTTTTTGCGCAAGTGCTGCGTCGGGCCCATACACTTGAACCGGCCGTTCACCATAATGGCTATGCGAGAGCACAGGGCTTCGCACTCTTCCATCGAGTGTGAGGTCAATACGATCGCCGATTGGTATCGCTCTTGAATGTAGACCAGAGTGGACCAGATCTTGCGTCGGGCGGTCGGGTCCACACCGGCTGTCGGCTCGTCCAGGAATATGACGGGAGGGGTGCCGATGATGGCCAACGCCAACGATAACTTGCGACGATTGCCGCCACTGTAAGTCTCGGTACACTTGTGGGCGTGATTCTGGAGATCAACCATTTTGATGAGCGCCTGCACTTCGGAGTCGATTTTGTTGGACGGAACGCCTCGGAGGCGGGCGAAGAGGTACAGCATCTCCTCTCCGGTCAACTTCTCGAGGAGGGCATCGAATTGCGGACAATAACCGATCTGTTGCTGGAATGGCTTTAAGTCGGCTCTCAGGCTGTAGTCGTCGATGAATGCGTTGCCGTTGGAGACCATGAGATCGCCGGTCAACATACCGAAAGTGGTCGTCTTTCCGGCGCCGTTCACTCCCAATAGACCGAAACACTCTTCTTTGTGAATACCAAACGTCAGGTTATCGACCGCTTTGAAGGAACCAAAGTTTTTGCTCAGATTTATGACAGCAATGGCCTCTTCGGAGAGCATTCGCCGATCGCTGAGACCCTCTATGCGGTACTTTTCCGCGACCACATCCGAGTCGTCGTTGCTCTGCGTTTCGTTCACCGAAACCATCGCAATGCCTGCGTTGGCGGTCCGGCCTCTCGAGTCACGTATTCTGTACCATAATTTTCTGATCCAATGAACTAAATTGGGGTCAAAATCACAAACAATTAAAAGATTACACAAAATATAATTTCGTATAAAAACAAACCTTCAAATAAGAGAAGAACAGCCATAAAGAAAAAGCCACTGATCACCAAATATACAAACTCCTGTCCGACGCCATTGCTATCGAAACTCAACGGGTTTTGGTTGTGATAGCACTCATTATTGGGCGAACACTTGTCGAGACAACAGCCGTACAAAATGCTCTTATTGTCGATGAAACTGCAGACAACCGTCAAATTCTTGTTCTCGTATTCTTTGCACAATTGGCTAAAAGAGCCGATTCTGTAGAGCTTTTGAATGCCGAAACTCATGGAGAAGACGGGCACGAGTCGGAAGAATGACAGAATCGTATTGAACTTCACGTTAGATATGATATCCATTCGCATAACGTTGACAATCAGGTCGAGTACACCCATCGCCGCGATCGACATCACACCAAACAGCAGGTATAGTATGACCAGCACTGCGAAGCCGGTCGACGGCTTGTTCAGCACGAGTGAGAAACAGTAGGCCAACGGTATGGACGCGAAACCAAACAGGAATAGCATTAAGAATAGACCGATCGCTGTGTTTGATTGGGCGAAGAATATATGGTTGAAGTCAAAGATGGCGAAAATTATGTAAATTATTATCACAACTAATGAATGGTTTAACAAATCAAACGCCAGGTTTGAGAGCCAGAAGAGAGGCGCCGACAGTCCTGTCATTAATTGAAGTAATTTTGCTTTAGATATGCGTTCGTTGATCGGGAAGAGAACATATGAGGCGCCAATGAATGGCACTGTTATCGGGAACAGTAGGAGACAAGTGACGGCCCAACCGAATATGACGGCCGTAAAGGTGACCGTATTCTCGCTGTAAGAGATGGGATGATTGCGAACAGTAATCGATACGTCTTTCATGTCAGGCAACAGGTATTTCAGCAGAGATTCAAAAAAGAGATTAATTGATATGGCCATCGAGTGAGTGGCCTCGTTGTTGTACCAAATCTCAGCGGTTTGTCCCTCGACTACAGCGCCGGTCAGATAGCGATGGGAATAGTCCTCCAAATTGTCCGCGTATTTAAGCGCCCATTTATTGGGCGATTCATTCGGTGGTATAAGACTTGTATTCAAGTCATAATTATCGCCGTTTGACTGATAAACGGGTCCGAAATCTGGCGAATCGGACGACTGGAAGAAACCAAATGTTTTGCCATACATTTGCTTGAGATTGAGATCCAGATTCTTGGTCTGACTGGTGATTGAGCTCCGAATGCCGTAATCGGTGAGCAATGCGATCACAAAGAGTAGGGCCGGCACTACCAGTTGGAAGCACATCATTGGCCAATATCTTCGCGAGTAGTGAAAGCGTTTCATTAGTAGACCAACGAAACGGTTCATCAGTAACTCATTGCCCATCAAATGAGTGCCACTCTTATGAAGCAAACTGTCCGACGATTTGTCTTTTAATTGCTGTTGATTTTGTCTGATATCAGTGTTGATGTCGTCAATATCGTTGCCCACTCTTAAGAACACGTCTTCCATAGTCGTGATGGAGAGACCGCACGAAGCGATTCCTAATTTCTCTTTGTTTGTCTCGATTTCGTCAAAGAGTTGTGGGAATACTTGAGTGGAATTATCGGTATTATTGCCATCATTTGATTCCAACGAATAGATCACTTCTGACTGTATTTCGCTGTGGAGTTGAGCTTTTGGCAGATATTTCTGCAATGTCTGCGCCATTAACGACGGCTTAAACGCAATGCCTTTGCAAACGCGCAGATGATATCCGGCGCCGAATCTCTTCTTCAGAAACATAGGAGAACCGCAACACTTGACTCTTCCCTCAGACATAATGGCTATTCTGTCGCCTAAAACCTAATCGTAAAAAACACAAACACGTTATTAATCACTCGTTGTAGTGAATACAATGGCGAGACATACATCCGCTTCTTCCATATAATGTGTGGTCAATAGTATCGTTCGTTCGCACCGTAAGTACTGTAAGAGATCCCATACAACACGTCGGGCCTCAGGATCCATACCAGAGGTGGGTTCGTCGAGAATGAGTATACGAGTGCCGCCCACTATAGCGATGCCGAGCATTAACTTGCGTTTCATACCTCCGGACAACGATTCTGCCATTGCGTGCATTTTGTCCGTCAGTTTCAGCATTTCTAACGTCTGTTTCACTTCAATGTCCACCGAATCCCAGTCACAGCCCTTCAGAACGGCATACAGTTTGAGATGTTGTCCGACTGTTAACTCATTAAATATAATGTTTTCCTATATTTTAATAAACAAAATAAAGTCAATTAATAAGTCAATCATTACATGACATATCAATGGCAGACCTGCGGACACAACCCAATACTTCTTCGCGCTTTATTGGTCTCGGTCTGTATGTTATAGCCGTCGACGTGAACGGTGCCCGATGTGGGCGGGAATATACCGGTAATCATATTCATTGTAGTGGTCTTTCCGGCCCCGTTATGGCCCAACAGAGCCGTGATTTGTCGCCCGTATATATTGAGCGACATATTGTCGACGGCTGTCTTAAGTTGACTGCCATAACCGCCGAACTCTTTATGCAAATTCTTGATCCTTATAGAGACCGACACTTCGGGCTCTCTCTCAAAATTTCTGGTATCGATCACATCATCCGTTTTCAACGATTCATTGGTCTCTTCTTCGACGTCATGGTATTTCGCTGGAAACCAATAAGACATGTAAAACGGGAATAACACGGGTTTGGGTACTCCGTATTGAAAGGGCCACACGTTGTCTAAGTACCAGATGAGCACACCGTATAAAACACACGATAACAACATTATGGTCATCACGAGAGCCAGCGTTAGGCTCTGATAGACGGTCGTGTAATTAAAGATTGTAGACCAGTTGGCGCCGGTGCCCAACACTTCAAACTGTCCCATAATAGACATACACCACGAGAGACCCATATTGGGCAGCATTGCGGACAGCATTCGGGCCCCGTTTGTGCCCACGATATCCATATTCTTGTGGAAAAACGGATTCAATATACCGATCGGTACGGAATACGAGACCACCCATAAGATAACGGTCACGATCACCGCCAGAACCGGTCGATTGAATATTGTGGTGATTGTCATACAAAACAGAATCGATTGAATACAGTATATGAATAGTATGGCAAAGAATATGGTTCCGGAGGTAAAGTTGATGATAGGGTCGCCGCCGAAGCCCATACAGAAGAATGCGGTGAATACTATCGACTGAAACACCATTATTATAAAGTACGAGATGAAGTGAGACATCCAGAAGACCCAATCAGACATTCCGATCATTCGCATCATTTCTTTAGCTTTGGCCACCTTTTCATCAGTAATGCGTTTGACAATCAGCGGACACATCACCACATATCCGATGGCAATGGTGGCCGCTATCAGGTCTTGCATCGTAAACAATTGATTTTCATCGCCTGACTTCTTGAAGCCGGGAAACGGGTATTTCATTGTCATAAAGCGACGGATATTGACTCGTTTGGTGTGGGACTCAGTTTGTTGGTCAACAAAGGCCTGGTTTATCAAGATCTGGAGGGGACCGAAATGCTCGGTATATGACTTCATATTAGCCGCCGGTCCCGCGAAGAACTTATTGGGAAACACAATGTTCACAATGTATGCCATTTCGCCGATCAGTCTTAACGTATAGTTGAGACGATTGTTTCGCAACGAATTTTCATCAAATATAAGGCCGTAAGTGTTGTCCACAAGATTGGTGTCAATTGTCTCGTTGGAGACCAAGGACTCCATCTTCGCGTTCACCAACTCTTCGGTAGCCATACCTACTATACGGACAGTATAGGGCGCAAAGTCTACCACCTTTTGCATAAGCCGATCGGCGGCCGGACTCGTAGGGCCGTAGATGATAGTGGCCTCAAATATAAGTTGATTGTTAAATGTCATGTCAATTGTGGGCCGATTGAAGATCACAGGAGGACTGTCTCTGACAGAAGTACTGAAGTTTTGAACATTCACTTCCTGGCCGTCAAGACTGGACGACACCTGACCTGTCATTTCCTGAGTTGTGAACTTCGCGTAGACATAGGCGATGAGGAATGAGAGGACCAGTGGTGTCAACAATTCAAATATGGTTGATATCCAGTGTCTTCGCCGAGTGATCCACGACTTCCACAACAGTATCGACAACTGTTTTGCTAATAGTGTGGCCATCGCTGTCGAGATCAGATCCGCGATAATCTATGCGTTTTCACAATCATTTCAATTAATAATTGATATTTTAGACAAAATGTCTTAAGACTTATGCAGTTATGACTTACTCTTGAAAATGAGATTAAATATCAATTATTTAAATAATTTCAAAGTTATTTAAAACACGATTAATAAGACAACGAAGACATTGAACGGACGGATGTGTTGTTTCAATTGATATGATGGGTAACAACGAACCGGAAGAATAACGCAATGATAATAGGCTTTGGTGTGTGTTTTGGGGACCAAATTGGATGTGATGTCTGAATAGGGGTTTAAAATTGAAGACAAAATTAATTAATTGTATAACAAAACAAATGCCACAAAACTAGTGGCAAATGGCAATCAAACACGTGTTATAATCCATAGACTCATTGCATACAGTATTTGGCGATTGAATTGCAATTGCATTCAAACAAATTGCATAACAATTTGTATTGCATTTCAAACCCCAAACCAAATGTCAAAACAAAACATGAAATACAATCACGAAATGTGTTTTGATGTCTGCTTTTAATCACACAATCAATACATCA